TTAGCACAGGGATGCATTTTTGGGCAATATGGATTTCCAGCCTGCCAAAATATGCACCCCCTCTATTTTCCCCACTGTATTTTACGGCCACCGTAAAATACGGTGGGGAAATAAATATACCTTCAAATAGTAGCATTCCAGTATTTTTACAGTAAATTTAGTTTTACTACTGCATTCACTTTATGAGTAAGCCACTGCCAAGAAAACTGTAATGATACTTTGTAAAGTACAGTCTTAGTTTTACAATAGAACATTAATACCTGACCCAGTGTAGGCTTCTTAGAAGTGGTACAATTGGTGCGGTTCTAAAATGCATAATCTACATCAGTGGTTCTTAACCTTTTTTGAGGTACCAAACCCACTAGTTTCATATGCGCATAGTGATAAATAAAATCAGATTCCTCCCAGCCCCCCAAATTCAAGACATAGGGGTGACCCAACTAGAGTCTAGTTGGGTTACCCCAAGGTCTTCTTTAAAGGTAGAGTCTCTGAGAACAGTTCTTCAAAATATAGTCAGTGTTTTCAGCAAAGGTGAGCTGACTGTCCAGGAATGACCCAAGGTATTTAAAATTTTCCACAGTTTCAACAGGTTGGCCATCAAGAGAAACTGGAACCACTTTAAGGTCTTGTTTAGATTATTTAATTAGCTCTACATTCTTAAGAGAATGAAAAATTAATGATAAATAATAAAGACTTTGCCGTATTCTGATTTAGTAATGTAATTATATTAGTTGTGTTACCACCCCCACGCCACTAGAGGCAGTAGCAACCCCTAAAAGATGCAACTAAGGAGCAGATTTAAAAGTATACCGAAAACAACGATGAGCTTTGCTGAAGTAATTAAAGACACAAGTTCAAATCCATGCTGAGAGTGGAACTCCTTCAATCAGTGCTTCTCCGCAGCACTGATTGGCTAAGCAATGTAACATGATCCTCTGCAGCAAGTGATGGCAAAGCGGGGCGTCATCACGACTTTACACAAGTGTGTCTTTACCTCCGGGGCAGAGGCTCCGCTGAACCCCTGAGACCGACTCATCGAACCTCTGGGGTTCAATCAAACCCTGGTTAACAATCACTGATCTACATAATCAGAACTTCACATAACACAAAAGAGGATGCGATAAGTAACCATCAGAACAGAATTTTTATTTAAAGGCACCACTATGCCTCAAACCACATATTTCCAGTATATTCAAACGTTCAAAACAAATAACACAAAACCATTCCTCAGAGAACTGGTAAAAAAATAGGCCTTCAAAGTCAATATATAGTTTCACTAACACTGGAATAAAAATTGAAGACTTTCAGTTTACAGTGACATAAACTGGGTTTAACTTATTAATTTCTACAATCTTATGAACATAAAAACACAGTTCTTAAAGAAATATCCATGCTGTGGGTATCACTAAACAAATCAAAGAAAAATGACTTCCAAAATCTAAAATTCAACATGGCTGAAATAATGTGGAATTCTAGTATCAACAAGGTTTTAAAATGTGAACTATTAATGGTTTTCAAGAGTCCAAGTGGCACTTTATTAGATGCAGATGAAGGCACCGTCAAACATGGAAAAAGAAAAGACAATACAATTTAGATCCTAAATAATATGGAAACAGAAAGATTTCAAAGGAAAGAAAAGAACAGCTAACCTAAATGAGATGCCACTCAAAGTCCATCAGTTTTTTGATGAAGGTGGAAACCTGAACATTGACTGTCACTTTTTCCTTTGAATGGCCTTTCCTGTCTTTTTGGATACCATCTTCCCATGACCGGCTTTTGTGCCCCTTTCTGGGTTAATCCCAATGAAGCGACTAAAAAACAAATATGGGAAAATTCCTGAGAATACAAATAGTGTGGCATTTTGAATACAGCTGGTACAATATATAAATAAAGCTGTTTTAATTACGTAAAGAGAAAACATCACCACCTTTGTGAAATGTTAATCATAACTTGCTTTAGAACTTTAAAACCATGTTATTGTAAAAAAAAATTATAGGAATGGTTTTACCGTTGAATGAACTCCAAAGTCTTGGCCGTCTCATGTTGATATTGGAGGTTGAAGATGAAGAAGATGGATAACACTGTCCTGTCTGGAATGTTGGCTGGACCCTCTCAAAGACAATATGGCCTTCAATGCTGACCATGCAGAGAGCTGCTTGCCACAGGGACTGTAATAAACCAAGTCCTTAATTGGAAGAACATAAAACAAATCCTCTTATTGATACAGTATGCATTTAAATGATCATCATAATATAGAGTGTCCACTCTGCCAGGTAAAGTAAAAGCAAGGATCTTAACTCCTCAATTGTTGTGCAAGTCACATCAATGTTGAAAACTGTAGGCTGGATTAATTTACAGAAGTTGTAGAGGAATTCATGGTACTTTGCACTGAAGGTGAAGTGTGCTTTGGAAGTTCATCAAAAGCTACCTTGGATGATCTTGTGATCACTGATGGTGAAGTGTCTTTGGTGCTGCTTTTGTTTTCACCAACATGCAGGAGGAAGGCTGTCCTGGTTGCACGGCAATGAGGAAGGCTTCAACACTGGCTTGCATCTTTGACATAATGATAAGAAGACGAATAATAAAAATTATTAAATATATTTAGCAGCACAGCTACATTCAGATAGCAAACAAAACCAATGAGTAGGACATTAGAATAACCACATACCTGTACATATCTGAAAACATGGTCCACAGTTTGACATGAGCTGTTTTGGATTCTTCTTGTGGCCTTTGGATGTAGGACGGAGCACATGAACCAACAGAAGAATGCCTGGTTTTCCCACCCTGGAGGAACAACAGGATAAATAGACACATTAGGATAATAAATAAACATTTTAAAGAGAAGTGTGAGCAAAACTAACCAGACCCACCTGTGTGTCACCATCACAGTCATTCAAAATATTTTTCACGACCTACAACATAAAGCATAAAAATGTCAGAAATAATTACCATGAACACAACTCAGACATTAGGCATTATAGAAATTAGTCAGCGTATAGAAACATTCTGGAGAGGATTTCTTCTGCCAACCTGTCAGAAGAAATGTGTTGAAGTCATCATAACACGCTTCAGTCACCAACATGACATACTAATGAAGAAAAAAAGAGGCAGCCAATATGTCATTGTTTATTATCATTATTATTTATAGAGACAAAAACATTTTGGCTTAGCTTTGATCGCATAGATCAAACTACCAGACCAGCACAGCCACTCTCCTCATTATGCCGTCTATAGCCGAAAACTTCAAGAAGACGACTCCGCAGCTAAATAATGTTAACTCAAACGGCCTTTCTGACAGTTTTAATGTTCGTTTATAACCCGTGCTACACCTGCATGGCTAGCTTTAGCTGCTAACAAAAATAATAAACCAAGGGTACTCACGTCCAGTCCTCGAGAGCTACCGTCCTGCAACTTTTCGATGCATCTTTACTCCAGCAGACCAGGATCAGCTCCGAACAGACCTGCTAACCAGCCATTCATTTGATTCAGGTGTGTTAATTGGCGCAGGGAAGCGTCTGAAAGTTGCAGGATAGCAGCTCTCAAGGACTGGACTTGAGCTCCCCTGTACTGAACAGTCGTACCGCGATATCCAAACAAATAAACTTAAGTTAAGCATAAGTTGATACTCTTGCGCAAACAGAAAGTTAATGCATTCATAAAAACATAATCAAAATCTAAAACATGATGGTCTTAACATGGAACTTTCCTTTTTTTTTTTTTTAATAGATCTTTATCGAGATAAAAAATACATAACAGTATAAAAGCAGCATACATTGTGGTATAATGTCCGCCAGGGAGTTACAAACATTGAGACAATACATCATCAGAACAAAAAGAGCATGTTTTAATAGCTTTGGGGAACTTACCTTGTTATGATAAGCTTCAGACAAGACGCCATACTACTGTCTCCAGGGCAAACACGTGACGTCACAGATGCGTTGCGATTGTGGGAGCAACTCTTTATCAAACACTATTTCTTTAGGGAAACTGACAAACCTATCTTTAAATTTGACTAAACAAGTGTATAATTAACATTGTATTTTTAACATACAACACCCACATTGGTAATCTAACATTTTTGATTATGCTCTGTAGATTTTGATTCATTCCCTAAAAGATTTATTATGGAAAGTATTTTTGTCTTTCCATTTAATATTGTCTTTAAATGCCGGTTGTGTAAGATGCAAATACAAGTAAAATATCTTGCCTAGAAAAAAAAAAGTTACAACTAATGAAATTAATTAGATTTCTTGATTACTTTCTAAATCAAGTAATCAGTAATTTAAGTTACTTTTTTGAGGAGTAATCAGTAATCTGATTAAAGTTACTTTTTCAAAGTAACTATGCCATCACTGGTGGTCATAAAGGGATGGACATGATCAGTAACAATACTCAGGTAGGCTTTTGCCTTGACACAACAATTAGCGCTCAGTTGATACTAATGGGCTCAAAGTGTGCCAGGAAAATATCCTGGCACACCACCAGCAGCCTGAACTGTTGATACAAGGCTGGATGGATCCATGCTTTCATGTTGATACCAAATTCTGGCCCTACTATCCAAATGTTGTAGCAGAAATTGAGACTCATCAGACCAGGTAACTTTTTCCCAAACTTCTATTGTCCAGTTTTGGTGAGCCTGTGCGAATTGTAGCCTCCGTTTCCTGTTCTTAGTTGACAGAAGTGGCACCCGTTGCGGTCTTCTGCTGCTGTAGCCCATCCACCTCAAGGTTTGACATGTTGTGCATTCAGAGATGTTCTTCTGCGTACCTCGGTTGTAACGAGTGACAACCGTGGTATGCAGCTCGAACCAGTCTGGCCATTCTCTTCTGACCTCTGACATCAACAAGGCATTTGGGCCCATGGAACTGCTGCTCACTAGATATTTTCTCTTTTTTGTACCATTCTCTGTAAAAAACTCCCAGTAGATTAGCAGTTTTTGAAATACTCAGACCAGCCCGGCACCACTGCAGCCATGTCTACATGCCTAAATACATTGAGCTGCTGCCATGTGATTGGCTGATTCAACATTTGCGTTATGAGCAGTTGAACAGATGCACCTAATAAAGTGGCCAGTGAGTGTATGTCTTTATGTTTGATTGTGGGCTTGTTGTTAACAGGTGTTGCAGCCCTTGATTCTGAGGTGTCAGGAAAGATAGGTCTTCGGGCTGTTATCTATTACTTCTCAACAACCATCATTGCAGTTATTCTCGGTGAGTTACTATCTTCCTTCTCTAACAGGGTTTTTAAACCCCTAGTAAGCATGGACCAGTTTAAGAGTCTAATTAGTTAACCATACACAAATAATCCAAACTGTTAGAGTATTAACATAACATAACAAGCAAAAATAATTTATATTTGTTTAGAGTATTTTCCCAGCCAATTTTCAGCTTGTAGGTTGTAGTTTTACAGTATTATCCTAATAGGAGTGTTGAGTGGTGATCCCTGAGTTTCTTAGCTGTTTTCTTGCCACCGAAAATATTTTTTACACAACCAAATAGGTCTTTTCTGTAATTATGATAAATAGTGTGGGAAGTGCAGCACTGTCTACTCTATCTATTCTGTACCTCATACACCGAGAGAAAAGTCTGCTCAACCCAGAACTTTATCTTGGATCTCATTAGAAGGACTTTAAAGTGTTGAAAATGTAGTTGTTTTTTATGCATATAAATGTAACTTTTCAATGCATCAGTATAACTTGATATCAATACTCGGCTCATGCCTACAGTCGAGTTTTTACTGTTGCCTTGGTAGTCGGTCTGTAGCCTTGACAAATAATGCTCTCAAAAAATAAGAATAACCGGCACCCCAAAAATATACAAAGTTTTTAATAAAGGCCAAAATATTTTTTTCTCTCATTAAAATGTATTCATATTTTTGTAGTCCTTCAGTACCAGGCACCCATTTACTCTTTCCCCTTTTTATTTGCATTGGAGTGTGCACACTTCTTTACTTCTCTTGTTAACTAATGATCTCACTCTTTGAAGGAATTATTTTGGTGATGACAATCAAACCGGGTGTGTCTCAAGAAGCTGAAAACATTGACAGAGCAGGGACCACCCCCAATGTTACTACTGTTGATACACTGCTGGACCTCCTTAGGTGAGTTTCTTAATATGTATAACTATAAATGTTTTGTGGCCCTTCCTAAACTCCCAGTTGGTCATGGCAGATGGTTGCTCACTCTAGGTTATGGTTCTGCTTGAGGTTTCTCCCTGTTAACGGGAAGTTATTCTTTCCACTGCTGCAACATGCTTGCCTTTATTTTTTTTTTACATTAACTTATGCATATGAATGAATATAGGTGGCTCCACAAACTAAAAAAGTAGTTGTGCTAACTCTTAAGTTCTAATCATAAATATTAGTTCTGCTAACAATAAGCACACCATCAAAAATTTAATGAGAGAACAATAGGCCCTTCATGAAGATCTCGCAAAAACTTTGGGGGTCTCAGAAATGTTGCAGTAACCGACATGTTGCTGAAGCAATTTATCTCTGTTTCTGGTACATTTTCTATCGACAGAAACATGTTTCCAGAAAACCTGGTGCAGGCTTGTTTTCAGCAGGTCAGCCACTTTTTACATTCATTCCACACATTTCCACAAATGTTACAAAACATTTTAAATCTTTTCCATCATCATGCTATAGCGGGAAGGCTGAAGATGAACCCGTAAGAATCTGATACTAACATGTTTTATATTCCATGATTTCACTGTAGTACAAAACAAAGCGGAAAGAGCTGGAGCCAGGGAAAGTGTTGTCCAACACCACCACGATTCCACCTCTTGCTATTACAGTCATGACAGTCGTAGAGGTAGGTGAGCCCTTTGAGTTTATTGACAGCATCTGATGGGAAAACCCTGGAGGGATTTGATCTCAGTGTTATGGGGGGCTTGTCTTTCCAGAACATCACTAGGGAGTATAAAATCGTTGGAGCGTATTCAGATGGAATAAACGTACTGGGCCTCATCGTATTCTGTGTGGCTTTTGGACTTGTTATTGGAAAGATGGGAGACAAAGGCCGAATACTCCTGGAATTCTTCGATGCCCTGAATGAAGCCACCATGAAACTAGTGCAGATAATTATGTGGTATGTGTTCATGATTAATTTACTCTTTTTATTTTTTTAACCCTTGTGTCTACAATTGGGGTCCAACCGACTAGCTGTCTAGCTTTTTTTAGTGATTATAGTTAGATTAGTTTTCTTTAATCCTTCTAGTTATTCCTTATTTCAGCCTCCCTGTATTGTTTCTAGTAATATTTCTTAGTTATTTCATCATCCTAGATTCAGTTATTCTTACATGTCTGAGTCTATGTATATATTTCTTTAGTGGTTCCAGTTAAGTCTTTCTAGCTCTCCCCGTAGTGTTTCTAGTTTTCTTATTTTGTCACGTTAGGTTTAGTTAGTCTTTTTGTCTGAATCTATGTCCATCTTCCTTTAGCGATTCTAGCTACGTTTTTTTCTTTGTTTAGTCCTTTTAGTTACTCTAGCTCTACGTTCCTTAGTTCTTATTGCTAGATCAGCCTTGTTAGGCATGAGCATAAGTGCTGCGAAGACCTATTGTAATGACAAGATTTCTTAGTTATTAGGCCTGAGCAGCTCAACGCTGTGAAGGCCTATTGCAATCATAGTGTTTATTTTTTTCTTTCTCGAAGCAAATGAATTGGCTCTTTGGGGGCTTTATCATATTCAAAAACTCACCAAACTTGGCGGACAATTTACATATTTTAAGGTTGTTGCAAAAATCGCACAAGAAACGGCTCACCAGCGCCACCTGGAAACCCTCCACATTGACCTTACTTCATAGTAGAGACATTCAATTTTGTACACTTGTATAGCTCCCCAAGACACACAGAAAATTCAATTAATGTCATAGTGCAAGTCAAACAGGAAGTTGGCCATTTTGGACTGAAGTTCCGATTTTGACCCCATTTTGGCCGATTACAGCCTTTGCATTTGATCAGACTCCTCCTAGGGAATTCGATCGATCGGCTTCAAACTTGGTCAGATTGTTCATAAGGTATAGCTGATTAAAAGTGATCAAAATGGTGAGTTTCTGTGCATGCTAAAGGGGCGTTACTAGGAGTCAAAGTTTGCTTACTCCCCATGAAACACTAAACTATTATGTCTCTTACACAAAACTCACACAGGTACCAAACTTTTAGCCAGCAGGCAGCGTAGACAGACTTTATCATCATGTTATTGATGTCACTTGGCACAGGTTTAAAGCTATATAAATCAAAGAGTAAAAATAAGACATCCATCAGAAAAAAACAGATGACTTCCCGTTGGAAGTGGGCGCGACTTAGTTGATGTCACCAGTTGACCATGTGAATGTGATGAGGGCTAGTCTATAATGAGACATAGAAAGTCTGATGCAGCTGTGATCTTGCATGTCGAAGTTATTGCACCGTGATGTTTCATGGCGAATAGTCAAAGTTTGAGACTTAGCCACACCCACATGCTTTGTTGTACGAGAAATCCTTTGATAACTTTTGACCTTCAATGCCTCAAGAGTGTGCTGAGTGATTTTGAAGTCTATATCTCAAAAGCTGTCGGACGAGTTCAATCAGATACGACAGCTATAAAAATGACATGATGGCGGCTTCGATCCAAAATGGACGACTTTCTGTTGGGTTTGGATCAGGGCTCCAAGAGACTTTTTTTAATGTCTTAACAAGATACATATGTGTACCAAGTTTCATAATTCTGAGTTATAGCATGGCTTGGCGCTAAACATTTAAATTATTATAGGGGGCGCTGCAGAGAAATTAGGCCACGCCGACCAACAATTGTGGATTCCTATTGAGGGGTGGATAAGGAACCATCCCAGTGAGTTTGGTGCAGCTCAACTTGAAACTGTGGAACTCAGAGCCAAACGTACAGCAACGCCACTACAGGTCACTTCGCCACATTCCAACACCCACTTAGGGCCATCGAAATCAGTTAAGTTTGGAATCCACATCATACTAACATATCTTCTGTCTCTGGACAAAGTTTCATGTTGATTAGATTAAAGGGGTCAGATAGAGACCGTTCAGAGTAAAACATGACGCTTCTGTTCTCAGGGGCGCGACTTAAGTCACTTTTACTCATGTTGAACTTTAACAAACTCGTCCTAAGGATTTCATCCTATCAGCTTCATTCTTGGTCAGGATGCAGTTAAGGCATGGGGCTTTAAAAGTTATCAATAAAATTGACTTTCGTATATGTTTGGGGGTGTGGCGTACTCGCCAAAACAAACGAAATGCTATAACTTTCACATAAAACACTGAGTTGGCACCAAACTTGGCATGAGTGGATGCCTGACAATCCTATGTCACCATAGTCTGATGTCATCTAAGCCTCGCCTCCTCAGAACAGGAAGTTACTTTTTTTCTTGAAAAGCTCCATCTCTTCCTCTCTTCACCCAATGAAGATGGTCTTGTGTCAGATGACAGATAACAAGTTGGTCTCACTTGCTTCAAGAAGGTTCGATGGAGGGTGTGGCTGTGGCGGCACGGTGAAGTGATAGGTCACGCCGCAGCCAGACATTTGGCTCTAGATTCCACATGTTTTGACTGAGCTGCACCAAACTCACTGTGATTGATTCTTGTCCAACCCCTGACAGGAATGCAGTCCAATATTTGGTGGACGTGGCCTAATTCCTCCACAGCGCCTCCCTAGAATATTTTTGCTTAAGCCCAGAATTATGGAACTTGGTACACATGTGTATCAAGATACACATGTGTACCATTGTTGGTACACATGTTTGTTGGTCCTGACAAGTCAGGACCAACAAAAAAGTCTTTAGGAGCCATGGTCCAAACCCAACAGGAAGTCGGCCATTTTGGATCAAAGCCACCATTTTGTCTGTTTTATTGACATTGTGTCTGAGCGAACTTGTCCAACAACTTTCGAGACTTCAAACTCAGTCAGCACAGTCTTGAGTCATTGAAGATCAAAAGTTATCAAAGGAATTTTTGTACGACAAAGCATGTGGGTGTGGCCAAGCCTCAAATCTGGCCATTCGCCATCAAAATCAAGGTGGATTAACTTCTCTGCTAGCTCCCAGCTGTATCAAAGTAAAACCCCACCCATTTTGTGCTGGAAGGGGGCAGGGTTACTATTTGTCTTCTTTTTACTCTGTGGTTCATGCAGATTTCAACCTGACAATCCTATGTCACCATAGTCTGATGTCATCTAATTAATTAAATACCGATTTCAACCTGTGTTTAATGAATTAGAATAACATGATGATAAATCCTTCTTTCAACACTGATTGTTGACGAGAGCATGTGGGCGTGGCTAAATGCCAAATTCTAATCCCTTGCAGTTTGCATACGGTTGTCTTTAAATCAAGCATGCATCATCCTATTTGCACTAAGCTTGACCTTTGTTAAACTCTAAAGAGCCCAATAGCTTGACATTGCAATCCAACTCCACTGCGCCTTCTGGGTTATTCCAACAGCTATGTCTCCCTAATACATCAGCTGATGTGCACCAGATTTTTTGTGCATCATCAGGGAGCATTACTGAACACATCGCCTAGAGCAGTGGTCCCCAAAGTTGGTACTCCAGGGCCATCATCATGCACGTGTTAGGTCTCTCCCTGGTTTAGGGCACCTGGATCAAATGATGGCTCATTAGAAGGCCAAAGAAGAACATTGACATGCTGAAAAGGTTGTTACTACCACCAGGGAGAGAACTAAAACATGTAGGATGCCGGCCCTCAAGGACCGACTTTGGGGATCACTGGACAAGAGGACGGGCGCGGGAACTGCATTAGTGGTGGTGAGCAGGCAGCGTTGCTGGAACTCCCGCGGTTGCCACAAGGCCGGAGCGACGCTTAACTGCGAGGGTGTCCAACGCCTCTTGCGGTTTTAACTTCTGTTTAGGTTTGTTTATGGTTTTGCTCATGTCTTTTTCTCTTCTAGCTTATCAGGTTTTCTTTAATCTTAGTGTTTCCTTACTGTTAGAAGTATTTTCAGCTCCCTGGTGTTTCCTCCCTTTTGTATTCCTCAGTATATTTTCTTAGCCTCCCTGTGTCACATTCTCTCCGCCCCTCAGCTAGCTCCTTTGTCAACTACTTAAATTACACTTACTGCATAGTGATGTTCTGCAGAAAGTCTATATTGCTACTAGTGCTCTTAATATCTTGTGAGAAAAAAATTAAAGTTCCACCGAATTGATTCAATTTGTGTAAATGGAAGTGTCTGTATTCTCAATTTTGTACCTTTTTTGTTGTTGTTTTATTTTTGTTGGTAAACAGAAGTTTACACTTGCAATCAGTTATCTCATCTAGTTAGGTATATTATTCCATTTGCTACTTCCCAGTATTTAAACTTCTCTATCTCAGTCACAACTTGCCAGTCCGTCTCATCACTTTGCTCATCACTCTTCTTGTCACTACCCTTGTTACCCTTGTGTCTCCAGTTTGCTTTGTTTTGGATTTCCTTGTAACCCTGGATTTTGGATTTTGCTAGTTGATTTTCTTCATTAAAATATCCACAGTATTCTACATCTACTGCGATTGGGTCCACTCCTACACACATCATGACAGACAGACCGATTCTAGACTACTGTACATGAATACAATTTGAAAAATATTTCTGATGAAAACAAAAACATTTAATTCAAGTGAGCAATTAAAAGATAACTAAACTAAGCCATATTTCCATATTTCCTGCAAATTGTTTTATCATGCTATTAAGGCTGTCTGTGGCATCTATAGTGAAATATTAGGGGTACCATTCATTTTTGTATATGCATATATTCCCTGTTCTTATGTTTCCAGTTCTAACTGTGTGTACTTTTCAGCTACATGCCGTTTGGTATCCTGTTCCTAATTGCTGCAAAGATCATTGAGGTGGAAGACTGGGAGATCTTCAGGAAGATGGGTCTTTATATGGTGACTGTACTGAGTGGGTAAGCTAGCTCATTACTCTGAATCCGCCTCTTCCAGACACCAGGATTTATGGCTGACATTTGGGTTGACTCTCCCTTCAGTGATGGAGTAAAAGCTGAGTTCTTGGTGGGCCCTGATAAGGGCCAAGGACATTTAAAACTGCTCAACCTGCAGATGCAGTAATGAACGCTTCTAAATCTAAGTGACACAGTTAGAGTGCACTGTAAATCTTCTCTTGTTAGGTCAGAGGGTAAGTCAAAGGTTCCAAACAATTCAGACTTCAATATAGCACTGTAGCACTGTAACACAATACAGTTGTGTTAATAAGGACTTAATAAGGCAAAAATGCATTCAATTAATTCTGCTCACTTACCTTGAACAACTGGAGCTCAGCCATCATAAACTCTGGGACATTAAATCAGTTTTTAAAAGCACAAGCAAAAACCGCTGTGTCGAGATCAGGGTGCCAGTGTCCAACAACTTATGCATCCCTCCTGGTATCAGACGGCTGAATTACCTCCTCATATCAGGATCTCTCCTGGGAAGCTGAAATACTGCATGTTGAGGTGGGAGAGCACCTCAAACATCAAATCAACAACTTCTTAGTTTCTCTGGCAGTTAATAGTCACCTGAAACAATCTGCTATGTCAATATAAAAAACACATTTATTCACCTAAATCAAGTGTCTCATATTCCAGACCTCAGAGCCTGCTGTCCTTCTGTCCAGAGTGAATTACTTTCTGAGCTTTCAGTCAAGATATGAAACTTTCAGATATCTCTCTGCTTCAGCACATCTAGCTCCAATGAGCTCATCACCAAAGCTATACCAGTGGTCCTTGAGCAGGAGGTGTGTGTTGTACGCCATGAACAAGTCACCACCTCATTGCAGGGCAACACAAGCTGTTTCCTTAGCAAATATGCACAAATACTTGTCTGTATCCTGATAATGTTGAAAACCCCCCACAATTTTGCAATTGCAGTGTTTCCATTAAATAAGAAATTAAATTAAAATTACACATGAATAAACTTGATCACAATATTCATAATTCAGTTATGGTGCTAGCTACTATCATCTATCAACCAATCAGAGGAGACATTGGTGTCTTATTAAGGAGATAGAGCATCAAGCCCTGCCTACATTAGGGGCAGCTAGTATGCTGCGTTTTGGGGAAATCATAGTCTGTAATTTTACAGAAGTTATGGTTTAAACACGTTCAAATGACGCACAACTCTTTATGAGCTGTGTGATGCTGTGACAGCTCTTGGTGGAGCCAGCTGCACATTGTCTGTTAAACAGGGCTGCCCCAAGCCTCCATGGGGCCCTAAGCAAAATTTGGTTTTGGGGCCCTCTAGTTCTACTTACAATGTAGACTGGCTGCAATTAGCAGTCCAATCATTAGATCATTCACACACCGGCTATAAACTTATTGCATCTCTGGCAGTACTGTTTACATCATATACATGTATAATAGGATACATTTATTGGCCAACTGATTAATCAACCAGTTGATTTCTGGCCGCCGATTTCCTTAATTTTGGAGAATCGTGACTGGCCAATAAGCCCATCTTATCCCCTAAACTTATCTTTGTCAGCAAAGGTTTAAAAATCAGCCTCTGTCCTCTTGTGCTCTGCAGTGAGAGGTGTGACTGACAGACTGACCCACCAGGTCAGATCTGCATGTTTGGAGTTAACAATGTTCACCCCACTGTTGCCAACTCAGAGACTTTCTTGATATATTTAGCAACATTTCAGACAAAAAAAATTGGTATCAGCCAAAATTAAAATCAACAGGTCAGGCTTTTTAAAGATCGGTAACCAGGGATCGGTCAGAAAACTGCAATCGGTGCAGCCTAACTTAAGATGGAATACATACACACATATTCATGACATTTTTTGATTAAATAAATTTCTCTTAAGCATTACTCCTATGGCTAAAAATGTAATTTATACCAGGTGAGTCTTTCTCCCCTGAGAATGTGGACCGGTACTGGACTGATTCTGAGCCTTCAAATGATTTTAACATTAGTTTCAGATAACTTAGAAGTTAATGTAAAAAATAATGACCATTTTAGCCACAAAATGATTCTGCTCAGCAGCAAGCAACAAATCCCCAACTACAGCATACAGCAGCTCATCGATGTAGCAGCTATGTAGCCTGACGTAAAAACATTTTGCTAGACAATGTCAAACATTGAGAAGATTCAATTATTGTTATCAAACGTTTTCAAACAAGTTGTTTTGAAGCCAAAAATACCTCAGAAATATACAGAGCCAACCATGAGAATCAATTCAACCCAAGCATAAATGTTTGGCTGTTGAACTGGACTGTTCCAGGTCGTTATCAAGCTAATTTTCTATTAACAACTTTACAAATCACTTACATTACATTGCCAAGACACATTAAAACAAACCTTTATCTTGGCTTTTTCTATTCTTTCTTTTTATTTTCTCTCTCCCTGAAGGATAAGTAATTTTTTGAGACTTTGTTTTGCTTTTTCTGACTGGAGCTTTGGATGCGCACTGCACATTGCATGGCAGCTCATGTTACTGGTGAAGTGTGCGGTACCTACCGTGGCCACCAGGGGCCCCAAGAGCATTTAATTTTTTTTTCTTTTTATCCATAAAATAATAATTTCTAAATACTTGATCAAATATATTGTAAAACAAATCACTTCATAGTGAAATTGTTTATTTTGATATTATAATGATTATTTAAAAAAAAAAGTCAGCTCCACTGAGGGGGCCCCTTAGTGGCCCTGAGGCCCTAAGTGGCTGCTTAGTTTGCTTATGCCTTGGGCCGGCCCTGCTGATAAAACAAAAAACTATTATCCTCCTACTACTTCCTGTCGTCTTTATGCCATCCAGTGGTAACAGCCACTTGTCGATCATTTGATTTTGTGATGCCAAAATAAGCGTTTCCAGTTTAGTTTTGCGAAATATATCTATTTTGATATACGGCTGAAAAACCACCTCATCCTAGCTCAAAAACATTTCTAGAAAATTTTGAATTTTTTTTAATGGCATGTTTCCATTAAACAAATTTATTTTCCTAATTTTAATTTGACCAATTTTATGGTGAGCTAGGAATATACTGGTTAAACAATCCTGTGCACATGCACTCACACCTAAGGTAATTTTAGAGATCATTTTATCTAACAGTCATGTTTTAAATGATTGGAAGCCAGAGCAACCAGAGAAACCTGACATGGATCCTCTCTGAATATTTATGTATTCTAAAAATATGTAGCTAACTAAAAGTGGTGTTGGATCATTTAACCTACAGGAAAATGCAGCAAAGATATTTTTTGGGAAACTTTAAAAGGCCTCAGGAACCTAGAGCTATATTATTTAATTCCATTCTAAAACATCAAGAGGACATAAGACTGCATTGACTTAACGTAAATAAGATGAGGGATAACTTAAGACATTCATCTTCTTTGTTCTACAGATTAGCTATCCACGCCACTATCTGTCTGCCTTTCATTTTCTTCATCATTGTGAGAAAGAATCCCTACACATTCACCCTAGGAATGGCTCAGGCTTTGGTGACAGCCCTTATGATTTCTTCCAGGTCAGTAAACCTTTTTTCTTTTACTTTTCACTTCTTGAAATTCTATCTGCCCATCTATATGGGAAGTCAATTCCTCACAATGTGTTTCAGCTCTGCTACCCTACCAGTCACCTTCCGCTGTGCTGAAGAGAACAACCGCATTGACAAGAGGATAACTCGCTTCGTGCTCCCAGTAGGTGCCACCATTAACATGGACGGCACAGCACTCTATGAGGCAGTGGCTGCCATCTTCATCGCCCAGCTTAATGACTACCCTCTGGACGTGGGCCAGATTGTCACTATCAGGTTGGCCATTTGTTTCTAGTATAGGTGATTGTTACATATAGCATGAATTTGAGAAAATATGTCAACTCTAGAAATCATTTGGGCCATAGAGTTCAAGAGCTTGGATATTGGATTGCAAACAGATAAGTAGGGGTGCACCTATTGCAGTTTTCTGGCCGACCATCGATCACTAAGTTGGCCACATTCGGGCGATTACTGTTAACTTGTGGGCGGGTCTGTCAGTCAGCCTCTCTCACATCAGAGCAGAAGGGGACAGTGGCTGATTTTCAGAAGACAAGATGTGTGGAAAAGATTGATTTCACATGTAAGTATTCGCTGATTACGATCTCCCAAAGCTAAGAAAATTGGAGCTGATTTATAGGTGCACCCCTGATGATTAGCTGTCACAGTGTTTTCAGTTGTTAGCGCAAGATATGCTTTATGTCTCTTCTTTTAGCATAACAGCAACAGTTGCCAGTATTGGAGCAGCAGGAGTCCCCAATGCTGGGCTTATTACCATGGTGATAGTCTTAACGGGTGTCGGACTACCTGCCAGTGATGTTACACTGATAGTTGCTATGGACTGGCTTCTGTAATTTTTTTTTTGTCATCCCATATTATTAAATCAAGTCAATGTATTTTCAATTTATTGTGTTCTCTTAAGCCTGCAACAAACAATGCATTCTTTGGGATCTGCATCAGACTGGTGTAAGAAATCAGTCCATAAATAGCTAGGACAGAACATGAACAGACACAAGCACAAAATAAAGTTCTAGAATGCACAATTCACACCTAAGGTAATATTAGAGATCATTTTAGGGTACCTTAGGCTATTGCCTTGTGCCGGTCTTGTGAGAAATTCTGTCCCCCTGTGAAAATCTGTTCCCCCTGTGTCGGCTGCAATGCGCGCTCCCGACACAGGGGGAACAGATTTTCACAGGGGGACAGAATTTCTCACAAGACCGGCCCTGGTTGCACATGGCGCAGAAGATCGCCAGATCGGACACAGCTCCAGATTCTGGTGGGACCGTAGAGCCGCTATTAGGAAGGCTAACGTTTTGAGAAGCAGAGAGGGACGGTGGTTCTGTTCCATGTCCAAAATGAGTTAAAATAAAAAATTTAAAAATTTAAAAAAGCTTGGATATTTTCTTCACCACCTCTGTCGTTCTTCTTTTTCGTTTGTTCCTGCGCTCCGCTGTCATACTTTCTGCTGTCTGCCATCGTGAGAAACTACTCCCTCATGCTCCTCCCCAATGCGTAAGACGCGTCAAATTTGAACCAATAATAATCAAGCATTCATGATGAACGTTTGCCAGAACAAATCAGACAGTTTTTCAACAACACAGTCAAAATCATTTTAGCCAGTGATAGAAGTAAGGCATTCTGACCTTATTAATTCACAAAAATACAAAGCATATATAGGGGTCCGGAAAGCGCCGGGGCCCTGGGCTGGAGCTATGCAATCCCATGCTAAAACCCGGGCTTGCACGTTACACCAACATGTCTTCTATCTCTGGACACAGTTTCATGTTGATTAGGTGAAAGGGGTCAGATAG